CCCATAGTTTTAGCTATAAAACCATTTCTGGAAAAATATTTCTCTTAAAGCACCTATCACAATGTTAACTCCATAAAGGCTAAAAAAAATATGACCATACATTGCAATAAAAATATTCAATCTTTCCTAGGAGCTGTGTTTGTAAAGTCAAATACAGCAAGCCATTTCATCAGAGCACAAAACAGGTGCTGGAAAGAAGACTCGCCAACTTAAGAGGAGGTCTCACTTGAATAGTCAAGGTTACTTGGCCTGTTCCCCCAAACCCAAAGACACACTGTTTTTTTGTGCCAAAGAATGTAATCACAATAGTCAAAATATGCTACTTCCATATAGAGAGGTCAGTAAAATAACCTATAGGGAGATTACTAGAAATTTTACAAATACATCTCAGTATTCTTAACTTTCTAGGTAAAGGTATATTTGCTCCAGAGATTTATATGGCTACAAAGGAAGTGGAAGGAACACACACACACACACACACACACACACACACACACACACACACTCCAACAAGACGAATCTAGAGACAATACAACCTGTTAGAGATAATAATTTCACATATTTATAACAAAGGGCTAGGAACTAAAATGTTCAGCTAGCACCATTTCCTTCAAGAAACCTTCATTTCAGTATATTTAAACAAATATATTAAACTTTGATTGTGAGGGGCTTTAAAAGTCCTACTTAATATAATTAAAAAATTACTTGGTGGAAAATGTATTTTGTCTTTCTATTAATAGTAAAGGGATATTCTCTATGCTTTTGATCACTGAATAGGGTGGTTCACACATACACTCCCTGCACCTAGGGATCATAGAATTTGGTCCTGGGCTATATAGAATTTTCCAGGTCAGCTAGAGTTATATTGTGAACCTGCCTTAAACACACACACACACACACACACACACACACACACACACACACACAGCAAAATATAAATCATAAACCTAACCTTTAAAGCACAAAAGAGAATGAGGAGACCTTTAACATGGGAATGACAACAGGTAGTTAAACAATGGAGACAAAATTGCTAAGAAACATGTTTTATAAATAATTTTCATATTCTTCTGCTAGCTCTATTCAGTAACACCCTAATTCAGTTTTTCCTGCCTAACTACATAGAGTTCTTGGCAGCTGGAGAGCCTTTCATTCCTGGGTGACTGACTCACTGGTTAAGAGCACTTGTTACTCTTCCAGAGGACCTTGGTTAGATTTCCAGCACCGAGATGGCAGCTCCCAACAACCTAACTCCAGTTCCTGGGGACGCTACTGGCCTCGATGGGCCCCGAACACGTGACACACGTACACGGAGGCAAAACACTCATAACCACCGCATCACTTCTAGTCCTTCACTTGCCATGTGACATGGAGTTAGCTACTGGCCTTTCCTGTTGCTTGCAGTGATCTCTAAAAGAGAACTGTGTTTTCTAAGCTTCAATATCAGGGAGAAAAAGTTGTACAAAGCGGTCCATAAGACAGGATCTCGTGTAGCTGAGGTTGGCCTTAAACCTAAAATCCTACTGCCCCTATCTCCCCACGAACTGAAGTTACAGGTGTGTGGACCACACCGAGGGCTAGATGCTTATTATTTTGTTAATGTCCTATTTATTTTCAAAGTATTACCTTGATTTAAGCATCCATTTCCAGTTAAAATTTGAAGAGAGCAGATAAGAAATACTACAGGTACTTCTTGGTTTTGAGCTTGGCACGTGCCTCTCTCTCTGGTTGCTGAAGGGAGCCTAATTCCCCTTTCTGCACCTTGCTTCCATCACCAGAGCTGCCAGTGGCTCCTCACCAAGGATTTATTTTGGAAACTAGATTATGTGTAGTAATGGGCTGTAAGGTCTGAGCTGGGGGGTTTCAGAGAAGAAGTTTCTAATTCCATTATACCAGGGCTATCATTATTACCTATTACAGTTGAAGAATTTCAAGAGTAAATTTATCTCAGGAAACAGGTTCCTATCAACAAGTAAGTTTGTAGGATAAGGAAAAGAAAAGTCTATCTGTATATAAAACCCAGTGACTAAAACTGCCTGGCTGATTTGTAATCTAGCAGATGGAGATGGAAAAGCCACACAAGAGAATGGGCATATTTAACTTATATTTAAATTGTATTTACCCCTAACTGAAAAGTTGTGCACGCATGTTCTTGATCCATTCTGCAACCCTGGGAATTGGACCCAGAGGGATTCCAGCTCGGTAGGCAAGCACTTCAGCATTCAGCTCTCTGCAGCTCTGTTCCCTGTTCGTGTGGTTTTTCTATCAGCCTGCCTCAGTCCCTCAGACAGTTGGGGTTACAGATTTGAGCCAAGCTGGGTGTGGGGCTTCGTGACACATCTTAGAAGATGCTGAGGCAAAACAGAGTTGAAGGCCAGCCTGGACTACATAATGAGATAATGTCTCAAAAAGGAAGGCAGAGGAGTGAGAATCTGTGTGGCAACTCAAATGAACCAGATGTATTTGCATAAGGGATGAGCTGGGTGATGGAGCCAGAATCCACACAGAGCAGCGGGTTTTTTATCATGAGGAAATCAGAAGGTGCAAAAGGAATAAGTCACTTCGAAGCTAGAGACATTACAGACTGCCACAAGGTAATTTTGAACACAATGGGGCCTCAAGGTCAACTTGATATTATGAATAACGTAGTTTGAGCAAACTGGTTGTCTGGGAAAAGAACTGGGGCCAATACAAAGGTACAATATCTGGGCAGGGTGTCCTGTGTCTGTTCCCTAGCAAATAAGAAAGGAGATATCTAAGGTAGAAATTCCAGAAAAAAACCTCAGTAACACGCTAAGGTTTTGTAGACATGATTCCCTATAACAAACAAAACAGATCCAAGTTCCCCTATGGTGGGAAGGTTGATAAGAGTGCTTCCCTATCACACTCAAGGCCCTGGGTTCAGTTCCCAGAACTATAGAAACCAGCAGGGGTATAGTCAGAGGCAGAGGCAGGAGGAACCTCTGTCAGGTTCAAGGCCAGCTTGGCCTATGTCTCCTGAGTTCTAGACTGGCCAGGGCTGCATGGTGAGACCCAGTTTCAAGAGAAAAAGAAAGGGAAAAAGAAGTTCTCAACACCCTCAGCCATAGTTCAAGACTGCCTACACAAGACCACGAAACTCTAAAAGTCCAGCTCTATCTACAACATAATACAGAAGCCCATCTCCCATTACACAAAGAAAAACATGCTCAGGAGTCTTCACACTTTGTAAGAAAATATACAGAATCAAGTTTTGTAGGAGGACTCACTGACTCTTCTGAATGGTCCTCCTGACAACAGGATCGGCATTATTCATTTCCTAATGCTATGAGAAATACAATATGCAACACCCACTTCATTTGAACAGACCTAGATGTCTTACACAACCAAGCAATGACTACACCACAGGGCTCAATATGCCACACTGTAGTAACAAGTTCAGGGGCGCTATGCACAATAAACCAGCATTCCCGTGACAAAGATGGCCACATCACAATTAACTGCTGGCACTCAATTAGGTGAGGGGCGGGAAGGGATTGTGTATCCACCACTAGGGAGTATATACAATGAAAATATGCTGTTCTCAACTGTTTCACCAGCCGCTCCTTAAAGCCAAAGTATTCCTAACACTAGGTTCCAGAAGAGAATGGCAAAGACTGCCATATTTACAGGAAAGCGAATAGGCTAGAGTCATAGGTAAATGTCAGCTAATTTCTCCACACAAAGCCCAGGCTATTGATAGCCAAGGGATTCTTGACCTAGTTTAAACCATTACTTTTCCTGCTCTGAACCTCCCTCGAGGACAGAAAGCTGTTTTATTTTTGACTTGTACAAAAATAAGGAGAGTTCTGCATAATACAGTACTCTCTGGGTGAGAAAATTAAAGTTTGTTTTGTACAGTTCTAAGAACGGAGCAGCCTTCAAGCAATTACGAGCTGATGGGTGCCATCTGGGCTGTGGGCACAGAGGCTGAGCTTTATGACTTCTACCGCAGTGAGATCCACTACAGTATCTTTTTTTTTCTCCTCATATTTCTTATAGTTACTAGTGAAGATGAAAATTCAGTTGTATTAAATCTAGACTCAAAATGATTCTCATGCAGTGAGCGGTGTTAACTGAAGGCAACTTTGTATCAAAGACTGCATACACCGTAGCGGGCACATTCAAATATGCCCACAATTGGTGAAAGATGTCATAGCTTTATCCCACAAAGAAGTCTCAACATATGTGACCAATCTGGGGTTAGTTTTGCACTTGCTATTGTGAAATGTTAAGGAGTAGAAGTACTCGAAAGTACTTTAGCTCGTGTGAATCAAGTCAGGTCCACAGGGCTATCCATTCAGCTCTGTAAGAGGGTGAACGGCTTGCAGCTCTCACCTAATGAAGTTCTTCTAAGTCTCCCAAATGCAATGATTACATTTGGGAGGTAATGTAAGATGTGAACACATTGCAAAAATTTACCTCTATCAGCCTCATGTCCCAACAATACATTTGAGTGGAATTTATGACATGGTCTCTTTAGTACCATGTAGAAGAGTGGAAACGGGATATGGATATCCGTGAGGATGACAAGCACGACACAAACAAGACATCTTGGAGGGGGGTGGAGCACAGCTTTAATCCCAGCAGAGGCAGGGGCAGGCAGATTTCTGTGAATTGTAGGCTAGCCTGGCCGACCATGTGAGTTACAGGAAAGCCAGGACTACTTTATGAAGACCCAGTCTCAGAAAGCGTCAGGTGGGCTACCATGGAGGTTCTATACGACAAAGCGTTCAGTGTTCACATCACGAGCAGCCTTAACCTGAGCTTCAGAAATAGGGTTAAAGAAAAGGAATTTGTAGTTATAGTAAAACAACAGAGGCGCAGAAAGAAAGTTAAGTGACTGTCATCTCAAACCAATTTATTTTGTTGTTTCATAAGAAAAGACCATTCTTGAGCCAGGCATGGTGGCACACACCTTTAGCCCAGCACTCGGGAGGCAAAGGCAGGTGGATGGATCTCTTTGAGTTCCAAGCCAGCTTGGTTTACAGACCAAGATCCAGGACAGCCAGGGCTACACAGAGAAGCCCTATCTTGAATAACCCTTAATATTAAAAATTAATTAGTTTGAATGTATATGTCTTTTTAAAAGGTAATTTGCTATTTCTTCAGAAAGTAATCCCAAGCAGTCTTTATAAGATTGCATCCTGGGTAGTGATTCAAGGAAAAACAAAATCAAATCGATTCCAGAGATTCAATTAAGTGTGCATTGGAGAAATGGATAGATGAATGGATGAATAAAGGCAGGAGGAGATTTTACCCAGTAGTGAGCATGGCAAGGAAACAGTTTTTAGTGGGAGCTAAGGCCAAATCCTCAAAGGTAACTTCACAAGGGAGTATTCCTGATAGTATGCACTAACAAATACCTTAACTGAAGCAGCCGAAGCAATAAACAATCACATTTATATACTTAAAACCCTAGACTTAAAACAGACACATTTTTAAACAGAAATCTAAGGCACACAAAACACTAAATCAGGTCAACAGATTACCCTACTGTATATATTCAAGGAGCATAAATCTACTTGTTAATAATGGAATGTCAATGGACACTTCCCATTCCCTTCTTCTTCCTTAGGCAGAACTTTTGCACCATATATTATTTTAATAAGTTATTCTCTAGAGAGCTTGCTGGAACTGGTTGCATTTGCACCAAGATTGTGGTAGTAGTTGGGGGCTTCCTACGGAAACTGAGAAGCACCATTAGGGTTCCTGTACCTCCGAAGAATCCAATACCTTGAATGTCATAGCACCTGTGCATTTGGATTTCACTGAAAGTTCTCTTGGTTCTAGGTTTCTTGTTTAGGGAGTCTTTCTTAAACAGTGAGAAGAACCTTGGAACACTAATCAGAACGACCTTCAAAATAGGGGATTACTAAAGAAGTTGGAGTTGCCAAATAAATTATCAGTAACCTACACCCAAAAGGTTAAGTGTAATGAATAGTTAGGCTCTTAATTGGCTTACAGTACAAATTTTTCCATGTGACGCTGGCCTAGAAGCAATAAAGATAATAGATTTTTCCCCTCAATTATTTCTACAGGATATTTTCTTCTCATTTGGGAAGGAAAACTTAACTATCTAATTCCTCATGTTGAAACACTGGGAGCATTTATTGATTCCAATTTGTCCCTACTCCCTTTGAAAACATCTGTCATGAAGACACTTGAGAACACTTTTTTTTTTCCTTCTAGTTAAAAAGGGGAAATTGACATTGGTGGCACTTTGTATTTAATTTTTTGGAGATCCTCTATTTCATAAGTAGAGAATGTAAGTCATAGATTATTTGAATATAGGCTGCACTTAACAGTATGGAACTCTACACAAATAAATGACTTCTCTGGTATGCAAATATGCATACATAATAGACAATAGGATTCTGCTACTATACTATTTCAAGTTACTTTTAAAAATAGAAAGTGCTTTTCAAAATAGATATATTTACAGTTAACGAACAGCCTCCAACCATCACTAGAATAAAGAATTATTTTATACAGGAGAGATATTTTAAGAGAAAAAGCATTTCATTGGTTTATTTCAAAGAAATGTGCAGACATGATATAGCAATGACCGGAAGCTGCTGGAGGGACGGCACCATGAATCATTCAGCTCATTACTACACGTATTGATGTGGTAAAGCACCAGGAACTGAATAGAGTGAACACTGTGTATCTTGGTTTTTACATCTTATTGCAGGAACCTGTTAAAATCCTCTTCATAGTAAACAAGCTTAATTTGAAGCACCGAACTACGATTCTATCATGGTCAACCCCTAACCAAGATATTTCCTTACGTCTTTAAACTATAAAACTTGCATTTTTGCTGAAAATGTATACCTTCCACCGATTCCCAAAATATAGTCACAGTTAAGCACTCCCCCCCCCCTTTTTTTAATTTTACCTCCGAGCTGAAATGGGTGAAATTATACAGTAAACAACAATGAGACTTTCTTTTAAACAGCACCGTAGAGACTACACGGCACCAGCAAAGGCATTATGGGAGGAAAGCCTTCAGGCCCAGTCCTTGTAGGGTCCTGCAACGTGAGTGAGAGCGTAAGAGGACACAGTGACAATGTTGTCGCGGGTTAAGGTTGGCGCAACACGGGAAGGGATTTTGCACAGTAAACTGGCTTCGCGGAATAAATCAGGACCCTCCCGGTCGAAGGACTTTTTTCTTTTTAAGTCTCTGGATTCATACTTAATCCTGTTGAGGTCAAAACCATGCCTGGGCCTATTCAGGTTTTTGTGCTGGTAGAATACAAGGGCCACACGTAAAGGACAATCTCGCTGGGGATGACTCAGAGAGGTGGTAGCGTGAAGCTCTCTCCGGGCACATTCAATCAGCACCGAGCCGTGAATGGGGGCTATGGCCACTCCACCATAGCTAGGATCAAAGTAGACCTCCTCACTGTCCGACCAAAACTCATCAATCTGAGCACTGTTATTATCCTCGTCGGAGGACAGGTCATCGGAGACAGGCTCCTCGGCGCCAGAGCGCTGCGCGTCTTCCACCGGACCGGAAGCCGGTTCCTGAGGACAGCTGAGGGACTGATTAGAAGTTAGCTGCTCAGACGACGGACTAGTGAGCGGATCAGCAAGACCAGAGGCATCTGCTCTGGGGAAAGACGGGTCCCCAGGCTGGACAATGCCAGGGCATTCGCCAGCAGCTGCATTAGCACCACTGTGTGTTCCAGAAGGCATTGTGCACTGGGGAACGCTACTTGCTTCAGAGGACCCACCTGAGGCTGGTTTATTGTACGTACAGGTAGCTGTTTTCACGGAGGGAGCCTGGGTGGGACAGAGGTCTGGAGATTCTTCCTTCACTGGGTGAGGCGTAGTTGAGGCTGATGAGTAGTTTTTAGTGTTGTCTGAACCTTTAAAAATAAAACGGGGCGTGGTTTCAGTTTTAACTCTGGGTTGCAATCTCTCACTATCAGCTCCTGAACAGAAAGTTACAACAAATATGAATACAAACATCAGCTATGTTGTTACTTGTTGGTTGTTACAAATTAGTTTTAAATGCTTTTTCTGCCTCCTGGTGTTAGCCCCTGGGGAGGCAAGCACTCTATCACTTGGCTGTGATTAGGCCTGTAATGAGCTTTGGTTTCTTTGAGACAGTATCTCTCTACATAGTCTTGGGTGTCCTGGCACTCACTATGGAGACCAGCACCTCTTTGTGTGTGAGTGGGTGTCAAACAACCCTTCCGTGGGGGTTACCTTCGCCTAAGACCACTGAAATATCAGATCTTTACATTACGATTCATACAGTAGCAAAATAAGTTATGAAGGAGCAACCAAAATCATTTCATGATCGAGAGTCATTGAAGGGTAGTAGCATTAAGAAGATTAAGAACCACTATGTAGACTATGCTCAGATATCTGCCTGCCTCTGCCTCTCCAGTACTGGGATTAAAGTAGTGTGCCAAAATGGCCTGCTCTTTTCACTTTTTAAAAATGTGTCTTGGGCCGGGTGTTGGTGGCGCACGCCTTTAATCCCAGCACTCAGGAGGCAGAACCAGGCGGATCTCTGTGAGTTCGAGGTCAACCTGGTCTACAGAGTGAGATTCAGGAAAGGTGCAAAGCGACACAGAAAAACCCTGTCTCAAAAAACAAAAACAAAAACAAAGAAGTGTCTTGGATACTGGACTGTTGGCTGAGAAGTAAGAACACTTGTTGCTCTTGCAGAGGGTTTGATCCCCAGCACCCACATGGAAGCTCACAATTGTCTGTAACTCCAGTTCCAGGGATCCAACACTCTCTTCTGACCTCCTCAGGCCCCAGGGATGCACAAGCAGGCAAAATGTGTGTCTGAAAGAGGGTCTTTATAATATGGACCAGCCTGCAGTTTACAGGGTCCTCCTCCTGTCTCAGCGCTGGAATTATAAGCATAAGCCAAAATACCCAGGCTTCTATTTTTTTTAGGATCATGCTAGGAACGAATCCCAGGAATTCCCTAAGACTAGTCAAGTAGTCTACCATGGAGCTATAACCTCAGCTGACTGTACTGTTCATGGAACCATTTTCCTCAAAGATCCTTCTTTAATAAGCAGATGTCTTCCTTGCCCCTCCCCATAGTCACTTGAGAACTGAAGAAAATCCTTGAACATCCTACTGTAACAGGAACTATCAGGGACAATTAGGTCTGTGTTAAGATTTCAAAGTCAGTTTGCGAAGGCTCTACAACTTTAAGACAGGGAAATGAACATTGAGCAATACCCCGAACCCTGCCCCACAATAGAGTTTCTCTGTGTAACAGTCCTAGCCATCCTTGACCTCGCTTTGTAGACCAGGCAGGACTTGAATTCACAGAGATCTGCTTGCCTCTGCCTATCAAGTGCTGGGATTAAAGGCATTAATGGGATTAAACGCTGTCACCACCACCAGGCTACATTGAGGCACTTTAAAAATGAAAATCTGTGAGAAAAGAGGAAAAAAATCTAAAAGGCAATATATAAAACAAATTATTATAATCATTCTGAGATGAAAAAAAGTCCGTAGCAAAAATTCAAAAAGGGATCACATTGGAATCAATTAATATTCTCAGATCTATTGACTGAATTAAGCATATATTTGCACCACCACACCCAGTTCCAATTCCAGAATTATCAAGTCAATGGTATTTGTGAGAAGCATTTCCAGTCTTGGGAAATAGACTGAGATTCAGTAAAAAGCTGAAACCTTTGTCAATGAATTAGGCAGACAACACTAGAGGAATCCTGAAATAGTGAGTGGGGGCTTCCTCTAGGACCCCGGATTCGGGACAAACCACACCCACAGAGAGATCCTTTATTAAGTGGGGAAGAAAAGTTAAAGTGGCCGCTTTCTGACTCAGGGAGAAAACAGCAGCAAGTGACCTTGTCGGTGTCATTTTTGAGAGGAAAAGGGAGGTCTGTGTTAGAATGGGCTGGGATGCGGTGGTAAAGGAGACAGAGGATGAGGGAAAGAGGGGAGGGTATTTGTGTCCAAGGACTGTCTCTGGATAGAGGAGACAAGACATGGCACATAGGCAAAAGGCCGTTTATTGAGGAAAAGGGGAAAACCCATGTCGGGATAAGGTGTTTTAATTTTTAATTGGGCATGTTAATTACGTGAGCCAAAGGGTCACCTAATTGCTGGACTGTGGTAGTCAACGAGGATGAATTGGCCAAATAAGGGAATAATCCTTGGCAGCTGGCTTTAGAAATGCAATCTAATTTTTTAGCAAGGCCGAGAGAATGGGAGAGAAGGGCAAGGCCTGCCAGAGCCTCATGACCAAGTGGCCTAGTGTCCCTTCAGACACTCTCACCAAGAAGTCCATGTGAAGCATGAAAAAGAAATCATCGTGCAATGTCAGCCTCCAGATGTGAAGATAATTACACTTTAGTACAAAAGATATTTAGTTAAAAACCAAAAAACAGGCTGCTCTAGGGAGCAGGGGCGACTGCCTTTAATCCCAGAGGCAGGCAGATCTCTGCAGGTTTGAAGCCAGCCTGGTACACAGGACAAGGAGGGCTCCACGAAGAAACCCTGTCTTGAAAAACCCAAATCAAAAACCTGAGAGCATTACTACAAAGTTACTAACCCCAAAATGGCAGGGGTCCCTAGAGCTAACAGCAGTTTAAAGGTAGCAGAAGGAACAGCAGGGTACCACAAGTAATGGGAAGGAGGACTCGGGAGGTTGACAGTACAGAATGAAGTCATTTCTGTTGCTCAATATTATTTTAAGATGTGTTCCATTTGTTTATGGTGCGGAACATTTATTTTAACGATGCAAAGATGCGCTGCATGCATTCCTTTATGTTGCTTCTGTTTTAACGGTGAAGCTGTGTTACTTTGCCTGTCTAAAATACCTGGTTGATCTAAAAAAGAGCTGATTGGCCACAGCTGAGCAGAGAGAAGAGCCAGGCAGGGCTGGCAGGCAGAGAGAATGGAAGGGAGAAATCTGGGATCAAAAAGAAAGGAGCAAGAGAAAGAGGGAGGGCCCTAGGGACCATCCACCCAACCAGCCACAGAGTAAGAGTGAAAGTAAGATATACCTAAGTAAGAGAAATGTATAAGCCCAGAGACAAAAGGTAGATGGAATAATTTAAATTAAGAAAAGCTGGCTAGAAGTAAGCCACACTGGGCTGGAGAGATGGCTCAGCAGTTAAGAGCATTAGCTGTTCTTCTAGAGGTCCTGAGATCAATTCCCAGCATCCACACAGTGACGCACAACCATCTGTAATAAGATCCAATGCCCTCTTCTGTAATGCAGGCATACATGCAAATGGAGTACTTGTATATAAAAATATTTTAAAAAGAAAGGAAGAAGCCGCCGGGCGTGGTGGCGCACGCCTTTAATCCCAGCACTCGGGAGGCAGAGGCAGGCGGATCTTTGTGAGTTCGAGGCCAGCCTGGGCTACCAAGTGAGCTCCAGGAAAGGCGCAAAGCTACACAGAGAAACCCTGTCTCGAAAAAACCAAAAAAAAAAAAAAAAAAAAAAAAAAAAAAAAGGAAGAAGCCAAGCTAAGGCCAGGCATTTATAAGTAATAATAAACCTCTGTGTGTGAGATGGGTGGTGGCCCCCCCTAAAAGAGCAAAAACCCCCAACCACATATTTCCCTGGGGGAGGTGAGGGTGTCAAGGTAAGGTGGTGCTGTGGGCCGCAGGAATGTATCATAAGAACTCAGCTGGTTATGGCAAAGTCACTACCCGGAGGGATCAAGGATTTCCTCCAGAGGAAGCCAAATTCCAAGGAGCTTTCGGTGTTACTTGGCTTGTTATATATCAGCTGTCTTCTGTTATGAAAATCATGTGTGCCTTCATAGTTTTCCCAATTGACTTTTTCCTAAGAAGGGCTAACAGTGTGGAATGATCACTCTCTGGACACACACATTCCAGGTATTTGGAGAACTGACTCAGGAAAGGCTTTCTCTGGAATCAGATATCTCCCTTAGCCACTTTCAAGGACTAGCAGTAATAACAGTCCACATGCAAGTCTCCATATTTAAGGTAAATTCCACAAGGAGACACCACCTAGGTCAGGTGGACGTTAACAATAGCTTTATACAATTCAGCTTAGACCCTCCTTTCCTACATGCTTACTAATTTTATAGACCTTTAACTCCTTACCTAACCACTTCTAGGAATATTTAGATAACCTTCTGTGCTAACAGCTATGCTCAGCCAGAACCCCAGTTCAAGCCTCCCTGTAATTATCATCATTAGCAGCATCCGGCCAGGTCCATCCCCAGATGGAGGAAAGTACCTTATCAGAGATACTTCTGTACTCTCTAAGAACAGACTTAAGCATTCAGGCAACCTGTTTGAGGAGGCCTGGCGGATGAGGTAATTAAACTTTACTTCCTGCTTTCCCAAACCTTACCTCTAATTCCAGATCTCCCTTTAACTATCACCAGAGGCATCTAGCTGTACAGAGGTTGCCTAGCGACTGAGCACACTTTCCTGCAGAAAAAACGGCAGATAGCTTGGACAGATAGGAGCCACAGAAAAAAAGAAGGCAGTTTTATTTTCTCCCATTGACCTAGCAACTTAGAGATTCTTAACATTTCCTACTAATCACGTTCAAGATTATAGTTGAGCACGTAAGATTCCCTTTTCTTAGATATTACCTGAATTTAGCTTTTAGCCCATTGGTCACTTCCCTTTGGGGTTGCAAATGATAATTAATGGTTATTGCCTCTCAATGTGATTCTTATCACCCCTCCGTTTGACCCTGGAAGCCTGGCTTTATATACCAGGACTTCCAGGACATGGAAAGGGAGAAGAGAAAAGAGAATGGAAGAACTAGATGGGTGAGAACTTGAGAGGAACAAACTGAGATGGGGAAGAACTAGATTGAGGGGCTAGAAGAGAGGACTAGAGAGGAATGAGATGGAAGATGAGGAAGAGCCAGATGGGGAAGAACTAGCTGGGTAAGAACAAGCTGAAAAGGACCTAGATGAGGCAGAATTAAGATGAGAGAATTAAGACAGAACTTAGATAAGTGTAGAGAGAAATCAGGCAAGAAAGGAGCTGGGCACGAGAACAGAACTGAAGCTGTGTATAAAGGATGTTATGCCAGAGGAATTAAAGCAAGAAGAAGATAGAGCTCAGTGTGCTGAGATTCTATTTCCTAAAAATAGTCCTCGCCATTAGTAGTTCTCTCCCCTGAGTCCCTGGGATGTATAGTATTAAGGCTGGTCCCTCTAATATTATACAAGAAGGTGGTAGCAAAGAGAAGAGGACCAGAAAGCTGAAGTTCAAGTCTTTCCCGGGAGGAAAGGTGTTTAAGGAACACCAGCCTGGTTCCTCTGGGGGCAGCGGTGGGGCACACTTACTGGAGGAGTTCTTCTGTCTTTTGACTCCAGCAGCAGCTGGCTTCTTGTCCGGCTCCTTCCCTGTAGTCCGCCTCTTCCCACACCGAGGAATAGGCTCGTTGAAACGTCGTTGCCTCTTCCTGGTTGGCTTAATGATTTCGACGGCCCCAGACCGGATCTTCTCCTCCATCCCCTCCCGGGAGCCAAATTCATCAGTGTCTGCCAGCCGGTGTAGTGGAAGGACGTGGAGCTGCTCATCCTTGGGATTATTCGTGTCTCGGGCATCTTCTCGAAGCAACGTAAGAACCTGAGGCACAGGGAAGGGGGAATAGGCATGTGTCCATTCATCCTATGCCTAACGGCACCAACAGCAGGCATGTGGTGGTTTGAATAAGAATAGCCCCAGGGGCTGGAGAGATGGCTCAGAGGATCTGAGTTCAATTCTCAGCACCCACATGGTGGCTCACAACCATCTGTAATGAAATCTGGCGCCTTCTTCTGGCCATCAGGAATACACGCAAACAGGACACTGTATACATAATAAGTAAATAAATCTTAAAAACAAGACAAAACAAGAATAGCCCCTTAGGCTCATATATTTGAATGCTTAGTCAAGAGGGTGTGGCACCATTTGAAAGGACTGTGAGGATTAAGGTGTAGACCTGTAATGTAACTCTCTCTGATCTGGATGTAGGTAGGGCTCAGCTACTTCAACATTGTATCTGCCTGTTGCCATGCTCTCTGGCATGACAATGGACTAATAAGCCTCAGAAACTTTAAGTAAGGCCCCAACTACATGCTTCCTTTTGTAAAAGTTGCTATGACCTAAAAAAAAAAAAAACAGGAAAAGAGTTGCTGTGGTCATGGTGTCTCTTCACAGCAATAGAACAGTGAGTGACCGAGACAACAGGTAACAAAGCCAATTGCTTTTGTTTCGTTTCAGTTTTGTGTCCAGTGGCTACATTTGGCGGACTAATCCTAACTAAATATCTATCAAGCCACTATAAAATTCAATTCTAGTGGCTTCTCATTTTTTGTTCTAAAGCAGACGAGTAAAATTGTAAATAAATGATCACAAATTAAAACAAATATGTATTTATATATTCTTACTTTCCTTTTCTTCGGAACAATTATTTTTGAAGCCCGGCCTGGGCTCCACCTCACTCTGAAGCAAGGCTGAACTTGAATTCCGGGTCTCTCCATCTTTGTCTGATGGAGTGAACACATTTGATCTTGCCCTGTCAGTGCGAGAGTTTGTGGATACTTTTTTCCTATCTTCTTTTTAATTTTTGTCCCTGTTTTTGTGTGAGTGTGTGTACGTGTCTACGTGTGTACATATGTGCAGATGGTTGAGAAGTCAGGAGGACCCCATGGGATCAAAAGGAACGGAAGTTGTGCTCAGTCTGACCCTGGCGCTGGGAACTGAACTGTGCGAGCAGGTACTGCTGAGCCATTTCTAAAGCCCCATGGCACTTTGAACGTAATTGGCCACCATAATATCTATCACAAGGAGTAGCACTGTTAGGAGGTGTGGCTTTGGTGAAGTAAGTATGGCCTTGTTGGAGGATATGTGTCACCATAGGTGCGGGCTTTGAGGTCTCCTATGCTCAGGACACCTGACTGTGTCAATGACCTCCTGTGGCCTGAACGCTCAGGCCTGCTCCCCTTCATGATGGTAATGGATTGAACCTGTGACGCTGTAAGTGAGCCACCCCAATGAAATGTTTTTTCTTATAGGAGTTGCCATGGTCCTGATGTCTCTTCACAGCAACAGAAACCCTAACTAAGACAAGCTCCTTCAGCAGTTTTTAAATTTACATTTACTTACTTGACATCTTGCTGGCGCAACTGAATTTATTAAGTGTATTCTTGACCGGAGTATTTTCCAGGCCAGTATGTAAAAATATAAAATAAAATCTCCACCCTTACCAACCTCAAGACTTGTGGCAAACATAATTGGGTTTACTTTATATGCACAAGTCGGGCCATATCAAATTATTCTGTCATGATTTCTTTTTTTTTTTTTCTTTTTTGGTTTTTCGAGACAGGGTTTCTCTGTGTAGCTTTGCGCCTGTCCTAGAACTCACTTTGTATAGCAGGCTGGCCTCGAACTCACAGAGATCCGCCTGGTTCTGCCTCCTGAGTGCTGGGATTAAAGGCGTGCGCCACCAACGTCCAGCTAAAATGGTGGGGGTTTTTTTTGTTTGTTTGTTTATTTGTTTGCTGTCTTTTTTTTTTTTTGTTTTTTTTTTTTTTTGGTTTTTTTGAGACAGGGTTTCTCTGTGTAGCTTTGCGCCTTTCCTGGGGCTCACTCGGTAGCCCAGGCTGGCCTCGAACTCACAGAGATCCGCCTGGCTCTGCCTCCCGAGTGCTGGGATTAAAGGC